CCCACAGCACCGCTGCCCATCGACCCCCGCCCCCCACAGCCCCGCGGGCCCGCATCCCACCCCCGCCACCACACCACCGGCTCCGCAACCCCGGCACTGCGGGCCGCCAGCCCGTCCCTGCCCCCGCGCTGGGGCAATCCCGCGCCCGCCAAGGGGGGTCCGCGCCCCCAGGGGGGACCCCATGCCGGGGCATTTTCTGCACCAGACAGAAAATGCCTGGGGCTGCACGCCGGCGGTGCGCACCCCCCACTGTTTTTTTTTTTTTTTGAATTTTTTTTGGATTTTTTTTTTTTTCTCCTTATTGGGGCCGGGGTCCCGGGTGCCGACCACCGAAACCCCGGACCCCCGCCGGGGGTCGACAACACTGGTTGCCGATGATGCAGAGGCGCTGCTGCAGCGGCTCGTGCTACGGGATCTGCAGGTTGCCCATGCCTAGTGTGGTCACGAGGGTTTGAACTGCATATCCGTAGGTTAGCTGACGCAGGTAGGTCTTAGGAGTCAAGTGTGGACCATTTTATAGATGAGTCAGCGAAGGCACTCCTAGCACCGACATCAAAATAAAGTCCCAGTCGCACTTTGTCCAGTCAGCAGGTACCTAGTCTCGATCTCATCAAAGTCCAGTTCTGCAAGGACCGTGTGGGACTGTGCATACTCAGGGCCCGGAGGAAATGAGGCGGCCCAACCACGAATAGTAGTATAAATCCAGAGGCAGCGTCCAACCATTCATTCATTTGCTGCGTGCGCCATGCTGAAGCGCTGCCACAGCAACTTGTGCAAGGACGTCTGCAGAGAGCCCGGAGCTGAAGTGGAAGGAGAATGTAATCACATCGTAGCGGTAGAAGCGGCCATTGCCGCCATAGCCGTAGTTAGAGTTTAGTGTGTGTGTGCGTGTGAGCGGCGGAATAGGGCGTAGTGACGAACGGTAAGCTGTACAGGCTCTGATGAGCCATAGCCATCTGAAGTGAGCATGCATCTGAACTGTGTCCTTTGTTGCCATATCTCTGAGATCTGAGTGGGCTCCTGTCGCCGGTTGGCTGTGCTGCCTGATTACATGCATGTGAAGTGTGAATGAAGGCAAGTATGTCTGCAATAATAAAAATAATAATAATAATAATAATAATAATAATAATAATAATAATAATAATAATAATAATAATAATAATCATAATCATAGTATATTATTTTTGCAAAGAAATGAACGATAATGAGCATCTGAAATCAAACTACATCATACATATGAGACCAGATAGCCAAGACCTCAAACCAGTAGCAGAATTGTCGTACGCGTTTCACCACATAAACAAGTGAAAGCGTTGAAGTGATCTCAGCATCATCAACAAAAGAACCAATGCCGACATCCTATCTGGTGCCCGGCACCCAGACTACAAATGACAGATCCTACCTGTCCTATCTACCATGTCGCAGGTGGCGTCTACAGCTTCCTGCAGTACGAGCAGATCCCGGTCAATGCCGATCGCCTCAGACATCAAGTAACTTTTCACCAGCTGACTTCTCTTTCCATCCCTTCTGCTTTCTCTTCTCTCTCTCTCTCTC